CTCCATATAAAACAAATACATCATTTTGTCTGCTCATTCGATTCCGCTCTTGTTGTTTGCCCCCGGCTCTGGCGGGGTTCCTCCCCCCCCCATTCCCCCTCCTGTAACTTTCTTTCCGTTTTCCAATGCGTTCAAGACTGTTCCCCCCCCCCCCCCCCCCCCTCCAAAAGGTGTCCCCCCCTCGAGCTTTTCACTCGCACCAATTCCGAGCTTCAACTCCATCTTGGCGACCACATTTAAGCTCGGCATGCGATGCCCCAGGACATAGCGATTCTATGCACCCCCTCTCGGTCGTCAGCTTTGCCATCTTCGTAGCCGGCTACATCACCGCTCGATGGGACCTCGTTACGCGCCTCTACGAGCTTGCCATCTTTGCCTGGGACCACGGAGTCGTTGTAAGATCTACTTTCTTCCAAAGACCTTGCCTGGTTCTTTTGCGCTGCTCTGCGCTGCCCTGCCCCGTATCAAATGTTCTAACCGTGTGCGCCATCGCAAATAGCAACGCGCCGCCAAAGGGTTCGCTCTCTTGACCCTCCTTTACTGCTTCATATTCATCCCCGTGGAACGTCTTGCGACGAGAGAGGCTACTCTGGTACGACCAAACCAACTGCTCCCCTCCCCTACCCCCGGAGCTTATGCGTCCTCTTCCATGAGACATGTTCTGTGCATGTGCGACTCGCAGTCGATCTACAAGCTAGCATGTGCTGACCAAACGCTTCGCGCAGCACCCACGATCTCCCGCCTCTGGCGTGTCGGCTCGAGAACAATTACGTAGGCGGGGTTCGTTCTGATCGCGCTGCACGAACTCGCGACTGTCATGCAAGGAAGCGATGGCTTGATGAGGATATTTTGGCCCACAGACATCCAGAGGTCAGAGCTGTCGGGCGTCGTTGTGGGCTGGCGCAACTCCCCTCTGGATGTCTTTGTCGTTGCGGTGCTGGACCACGTCGACGTAAGCATCCTCCGTGGCCCGTCTTTTGTGCTTTTTCGGGACCTGCGCTGACAGTGCGATCAACAGCCGGGCCATGTCGAGTTCGCCTTCAAGGTCGGAACGCTGTTCCGTAACTCCCCTCATCCCGTCAGCCATATCTACGAACGGTGCGGACATGCCTCGATGCATGTGCTGGGACTGACGAACGCTGGCGAGGATGTTGTGCTGGACCCTTTCCTCATCTCAGCCGTGACAGCAAGCGGCTGCAGGGTGCCGCAGATCACATGCGCCAAGGCTACGAGTATCCAGATCATTCTCTACGACCGACCTCTGCCCAGCAAGATGCAATACATATCGTTGCGACCGATATCGCTTGCTCTTGGGGACAACGCGCCAAGTGCCGAAGAAGTCGAAAGCGAATTGGAGCACGAGCGCTTGGAGAACCGGCAGAAGGAGCAGAAGCGCAAGCTCGTCGAGAAGCTGAAGCAACACATCATAGTCAAGCGCTCGCCATCGTTGAAGGAGAAGGCGTTGCCCAAGATCATCAGTCAGGTCAATTGGGCTTACGAGCTTGAGCGCCTTCTTCAGAAGAACGTCTCACGCATAGGAACCCGCCCTAAGCGAGCGCTCAGTGTGTCGGAGCGTGTGGCAGAGCACGCGGAGACGATGAGGAACTACGTGTGGGATCTCGTCGTGCTGTACCTGTTTCCTGTCATCCAATGGGGATTCGTGTACATGCTCATGGGGCATCGAGCCGTCGCCGAGGTGCTGCTGCGTATCCTTGAGTGGCGTGCGCGACCTCACTACGCGGCCCTCAAGGACATATCGGCAACTGCGCAGCAAGTTGAGATCCGGTTACAACAGTTTTGTTATTGGCCGATACAGTACAGGACACTTCGGCAGCGCAAGGACAACTGGGAGAGCATCACCACAAGCCACCCGGACTACATCCGCTTCTACAACAGCCTTTGGCTGGTCGCTAACGATGTCATAATTGGCATCGCCCTGGGTTCCTACATCATCGACAACGGAGAGTGGGTCGCAGGTTCGATCGCGCAGTTGCTGCAGACGTACACCGTCGAGGCCTTGCGGAGAAGCATCTCGTGGCTCATGGGTTACCCGGCTGGCCTGAAGCTCAACCGTGAGCTGGCTTTGTTTCTTGGCGACCTGTTTCTCTGGGTCATTGAGTATTGGTCAGGTATGCAGTGCTTGCTCACACGTCGAAAAGGAAGCATGGCTAACAGACATACAGGGTGTATTGTTATCACCCAGAAGATGCTTCCACATGTCGTGTGGTTTGTCGGCTTCTCCAGTTTCGCCGGGGCGAGTATGCCAATCGCCGTGGTGTCCGACCTCCTTTCGCTTCTGACTGTCCACATACATTGTTTCTACATGGCGTCTGCACGCATTTTCCACTGGCAGCTGACCATCCTCATCTCGCTATTCCATCTCTTCAGGGGCAAGAAACACAACATCCTCCGAAATCGTATCGATTCTTGCGACTATGACCTCGACCAGCTGCTCGTCGGCACCATCCTTTTTACCGTCCTCTTCTTCCTCCTGCCGACCGTTGTTGTGTTCTACCTCAACTTTGCCGTGGCTCGCATGGTCATCATCAGCTTGAAAGCGGTCCTCGACACTCTCCTATCCTGCCTCAACCATTTCCCTCTCTTTGCTCTGATGCTGCGGGTCAAGGACCCCGGACGCCTGCCCGGTACGTCTTTCGAACGAAGATGCTTGTTTTTCTCAGCTAATCATACCTCAGGAGGTATCCGGTATGAGCTGCGTAATACTGTTGACGTGAGGTCTCATCTCCAGACCTCTTCCCAAACCCCGACGTCCGTCATCTATCTCAAGGTCCGTCTCATTACAAGCCATTCGTAAATCCAGGTGGATGGCCTGCTAACAGTGCACAAGCCCATACCCCTTACCTTCGGCGCCATGTTCCACCAGTATTTCCAGATGGGCAACCGCATCCGCAAGCACTACCTCTCGCCGCGTGTGCTCTTCTCCCTCCTCACAGGCCAATTCGTCCCGCCCATCAATCGAAGAAACCTGTATAGCTTGCAGTACAGCATGCTGCCGAATCAACGCCCAACCATTCGTGAAATGTGGAACGCCGTCACAGCACCATCACCAGGTGCGAAGAAACCGGTGCCCTTCATCGTCAACGGGCGGCGGTATCCTTCCGGACCCGGCGGCGGCGGCCGAGCAAGATATCATTAGTTGTAATTAGAGTCGAAGCGATAGACATGAAGTAATGAAGCGTTGTCAGCATGCGTTGCGCCAGCATTCTATGGTGCTCCTGTTCTTAAAACCCGAACGCCTCTCTCTCTGCATCCTCATCTTGCTCTCACGTCGTTGATCACGCGCACTTCCTCACCTCGGTCAGCCCGCCCCGCCAGTCCTCCCACCCATCTTCCGCAACGCCAAACATGTAGCTCAGCACCATGTCCTCCGCCCCGCCAGCCTCGCCACCGTCCGCCGCACCGAGGCACTGCGTCCCGATCCCCGGATCAGCCTGCGCCGCGCGCACCCGGCCGCCGAGCTCCTCCGTGGCAGACTCGGCCGCCCCGTTCCACAGCCCGAAGAGCAGCCCGTCGCAGACCGCAACCTGCGCCTGCTCCGGCGCCAGCGTCAGGGGTTCCGCGCCGTAGAGGCGCGTGAAGGCTGCCGCGGCGCGCACGAGGGCGGCGCGGCCTGGGGCGTCTCGGGCGAGCGGCAGCGGGGCGGTGCAGAACCAGAATGCCGGTTCGGACGCGGTCATGAGGGGGGAGAGGGCTAGAGGGAGCAGACTGGCAAGTCTCTGGCGCAGAAAGGCGAGGTTAGTCTCCTGGTGGATGATGGTACTGTGCGTCAAGAGCGGGAGGCTCACCATTTTGCTTGGGATGTCTGCCTGGGGTTCGAGAGGTCATGTGAGCTTGAGAGGACGGAGACATGGGGTTTGGGATTGACTGAGCTTTCGAGGCAGAGGCCAAGGGTGCCTTTAAAGGATGAAAGAGACCGGCTGCTTGAGATTTGATGCGATCCCGGGATACGGGTATGCGTGCTATTGGGTAGGTCCTCGGGAGGCCAGAGCGGAAAGCTGGTTACGCGAGAATACGGATACGGAGGAGTCGAGTGCATCATGGTGCTTCCGTCCATGTCGGATGGAGTCTGAGCTGTCACACGCGGTAGAAGCTGACCTTCGATAGTCCAGCTAGGCATGATTCAAAGACTCTGAAAGCGATCAGGACTTTCACATTCAGTCCAAGGTAGATAATTGTTGAGGAGGACCACAACATAGATACATGTATTGGGCCGAACTCCGATGAAGATGGAGCCCTCGTTACACCTGGGTCTTCACCTAGGAGAATCGTAGTCCATGTCTGCTCAGATACACATCCCTTATGTCAAACAGTTGATCTCGAGTCAAGAGTCACATTGATCTCAAACTAATGCAGGCACCCGCTGCCAAATCGCCTTCATCTGGCCATCGGCACGGAACAAAAACTCCCAGCCCACAGAGTCCTAGAAGATGGAGCGACACTACGACGACTAGGAAGAAAGACATAGGGACATGGCTCGGGAGGATTTCGGTCCTGTTGAACAGTTGCACAGCGCCACACTGCAGCACGACGTAATGATAGCAGCTTTGATTTGCTCACGCAGCCCTCGTCTTCGCCATATCTAGTACACGACGAGCGCACATAGGCAACCCGTTGAACCACGCACACGCACATGCCCTGTCCGAAGCAGACGCACCTGTCATTCTCGTTCTCCTGCCTCGCGTCACCTCGAATCTTTCCCGACCGAATGATCTATTCCCTAAAGAGCCAGACACTGGAAAGCTGTCCTCGTTGACGGATTAAAGGAACAGCCCACGCAGCATCGGTGGTTCGCGCATTCGAAGAAGGAGCGCAATTTCGTAGCTAACACAGAAAGGAAGCGCAAGAGCGATTACATGCCGTCAAACTCGCCGCCAAGGTCATCCTCGTCAAGGTCACCCTCTTGGATTTCCTTTGCCATCTCCCTCTCACGCTCCCGAGCCTCTTGAGCATTCTTCAGCTCCAGGCGATGCTGGTTCATGGGGAAGCGCATAGCCTAGGTTTCGGATGTCAGCACAATAGTAGTGGATCCTGAGATTTTCAATCAGCTTACCTTGACGCTCTCGTCGTGCAGAGCCAAGCAGGCACGGATGCGGTCGTGGAAAGCCTCGCCCGGCTCTCGCGTGGCATAGACGTCTCCGATCTCCTTGCTCTTCATAAATCCGTGCTCGCGGTCCAGGGTAGCCTCGATCACACCATCGCGAATGGCTTTGGCGACAATGTATTCAGCCGACTCCTCGCTTCCGAGGTGGAGGCGGATGCAGATGTCCCGCAGCGAAATTCGGGAGTAAGACAGGGACATCATGCGAATGCCAGTCTTGATAACGTTTTGCCTCAAACGAAGAATCAGGGTGTAAGTGCCGTCCCGTCGGAAGACGTCGGCGTGGTCTGCGATAATGGTCTCGAAGTCTTCGAGGTTACCGACGCGCACAGCCTGCACCAGCAGGAAGTACGGGTGAAGCGCTAGCTCCAGAGTAGGCTGACGGAAAGTTGACCGCTCAGGGATATCACCCATCAGCAGCTCTACAACCAAAAGGAGCTTTGTAGCGGTGGCTGAAAAGCCCGCCGCGCAGGCACTCGATGGCGCCTTCCTCGTCGCGGCAGTAAGATGCTCGTGTGCTTCGGTGTAGCGCAGCTGGACCGCGCGAATACGCCCAAGATAGTACAGGAAGCGGGCAACCTGGTTGTTGACGGCGTTCTCCGGGAACTGGGTGTGGGAGACGAGTAGATCAGCTTGGGAGATGTGAGACGTCAAGAGATAATTGCGTAGCAGCAGAACAATGACCGAGGCCTGTGTGTCAATGTCCTTGCGCAGCACCGCAGTACGCAGGGCAGCGAGGAGCGTTGGGCGGATGGCAACGACGGGGGACTGGGGAGAAGGCGGCTGGGGGTTGAGGTGCTCGCAGAAAAGCGAGTAATAGAAGTAGACCTTGGCAGACAGCGAATCCAGTGTGCGGCGGTTGAGGGATTGGATCCGATCCGAGAGGTACTTTGAGAAATCGGCACCACGTTGGAACTGCTTCGTGTCGAAGAGATGGACCTGGATCAGAATACCGAGGAAAAGGTCAACCTCGGGAATGATCTCCTTGACTTCCTTCTTGGAGCCGTTCTTGGTGGCGGCCTTCGAGACATCACTGTCGACCTCCATCTCCGAAGCAGAAGACTGGCCCAGTGGCAGACTCTCTCGACCAATGGCAATAAGGAGCTGTTTAGCTGCGTTACCAGATGTGACGGTCGCGGGGAAGGTTTCGACAATTGCTTGGGCGATGACGTCTGGGGTCAGGCGTTTGCGGATAGTCGAGATTGACCTCAGCGCTCGGAGGGAGAATCGGGCATCGAACAGTGCAACGGCACGGTCAAGCAGCGCAAAGTTGCTCTTGATGTCTGTTGTGAACAATTCGTCAGCACCAGCATCAACATGCACCAAGCTCGCAGAGAGCAGCGTTGCCACATACCTGCCACGGCTTGGACGACAGGATCAACCTTGACAGCGCCATCGTCGTCGGCATTCTCTTCGTCACCCATAGCAACATCACCATCAGCATCCGGCGGTGGCAGAGTCGAGGACTGCTTGGTGCCCTTGGAAGGAGGGACCACGACCGTCATCTCCTCGTCGCCGTCCTTGGCGCCCTTCTTGTTCTTGGACTTCGCGTCCTTCATGTCGACATCTTTGGTACTCCTGTATCCGTTCTGGGTAGGCTTGTTGCCGTTACTATTGGGGGTCTTTCCTGGCATAGTGACGGGGGCTGTTGGTTTTGGAATGGTTTCTGGGTTGCTTGGTGACTCGATGATCGTAGCGAGTCGACTGCAAGGCGCGCCCGGCAGTAGGAGCTGGCTGCGTGTCACGATATCGGAGCACGTGTCTTCGTGGATAAGTGCGAATAGAGGCGCCTAGGCGTGCTGAAGGTAGTCAGATGCCGAGACGGTGGGGATGGGTGTCTGTCGTTGATGGGGGTTTGTTGTGGTGTTGGTGCTGTCGATGCTGATTTGTCTTGTGATGCAGGAAGGCGATGGAACATCGAGCTTCAAAGATTGAGCCTGGCCAGGTCACGACAGGTGCGACGGGGGCGCGGTAATGGGGGTACAGGGCTATGTGCGGTGATGGTGCCCAGCAGCGAGGTACTGGGTACGTACCGAAAGCTAGCGCAGCAAATTACTGGGGCCGGAACCAGTGGCAGTCGCTCCTGCTGTAGTGACCGTGGGTGACGTTGTCGATGTTGCCTGTCTGCCTGCCCAGCTGCCCAAGCTGTCTCTCGAGAGCTGACTTACATAATCCGCAGAGATGGGAGAGACGTGTTTGGGGCACGATGCGATGAGGACGAAGCGTTTCAAGTAGCATCTCTACATGTGTGATTGCATTCAAAAATACTCGAAGATCATCGTGCATTCAGGCTCGCACGTTATGCAGTTTACTGCCGCTGCCTTGCTGGGGAGAGCGATGCTGATGAAGCACCTCTCTCTCCCAGTCCTTGAGCCGGATCCTGCCTACCTGTAAATCGCAAGCCGTAGCTTGCGATGAGGCCAACATGAAGGTACTTTACAAACACAAGTCGAGGAATATGGACCTTCGGTATATGAAGATTGACGATTAAAGCGATCGAGACAGATCTTTCGTGATCGCACATTTCAACTACTGAAGCAGTCGTTCTGTACTGTATTGTCAACGTGATATCTGGACAATTGTCGCATCTTGTGTGGCGGTGCACATAAATACTGGGCTCCTGACTAAGATGTGGCACTAGAGCCGCGGGGACTGTGGAATCATGCATCGACCAGGATGGCACACGGTCGCGTTTGTGACCTCTCGTGAACATTTCCCAGCTTCGATCAAGCATTCGACGATCACCGTAGACAATATCTTCCGTCATCAGTGGCAGCGCCCCCCGCATATCCTCAACCCCGATCTTACACATATAATCAACGAACGCATTTACGCTCGATACGACACACATCTCCGCGACTTCGTCAACCTACTTCATCACCATGAACACCCAGGGCCAGCCTGCGCCGCAGGGCCAGCCCCAGCCCAACGCGCAGCAAGGCGCCGCTGGACATCCTGCTGCCGCGAACAACCAGCGCTCAACAATGTACCGACCGGAGATGATGCGCAACCTGCCCGTCCTCAATGACGAAGAGAAGCTCAAATATGAACGTGGTCTGAGGTCATTGTGGAACACGATGGAATCACACGGAGAGGAAACATCAGACCACCAGGACGCAAAGAAGAAGATCCAGGACTTCACCAAGATGCTCATGGGAAAGCTCCAGGCCCGCAGGCTTCAACAGATGCAGCAAGCCCAGAAGCAGCAAGCCCAGCAGCAAGGTCAGGCTGGACAACAGACCCAGCGCAGCACGCAACCGGCAGCAAGCGCATCGCCCGCACCACCTGCTCCCGCAGAGACGCCAGCCACGCAAAACACGGCAGCAGTAGCTCCTGATGCCCCTGATGCGCCAAAGGCGAACCCGGCAGCCTCTCTTCCGGCGAATGCCAGTCCAGCACCGGCCGCAAACGCGGCCGCTTCAGCTCCTCCCCAGGCTCCTCCTCAGCAGGCTCAGCAACCTCAGCAGCAAGTTCAGCAGCAGCAACCTCAAAAGCAGGCTCCTCAGCAGCAGCAGCAGCAGCCTCAACAGCAGCAGCAGCAACAGTCGCAGCCACCCAATGTTCCAGAGCATATTTTGAACCATATTCGGTCAATGACCTTCAACCCTCCGCCACAGATTGTTGAAAAGGGCCCAGAGATGGCCGCGAAGTGGAGCGCTGACATAAAGCAGCGCTACGTGCGTTCGTTGATGCAGATGGAGCATATGGGAAACACCCTGCGAAAGCTGAATGCTGCCGTCAAGGATAGGCAGGACAAGGGGAATCCTTTGGGTCCAGAGGAACAGAAACAGATTCAAATTCGCAAAGACCACAGCCAGAAAGTCTTCCAAGAGGCCCAGATGTTTGTTCAAAACTTCAGGAAGACGCAGGAGATCAGCAAAGCCAACCCCAATGCACAAAACGCAGCTGCAGCGGCTCGTCCTGCGCAGCAGAACAATCCCAATGCACCTGGGGCTGCAAATGTTGCACAGGCTGTCCCTCAAGCAAGCACCCCTCAGCCTGTGTCAGGCACACAGCAGATTGCACAGCCAGCAGCGGCCCCAGCAGTTGTCGAGGCAGCAAAGATGCAGCAGATGAATGCCGCGGGCCGTGCCTCACCAGTTGCCAACGGGGTGACGACACGACAACAACAATCTCAACTGCCCCAGCAGCCTCAGGGCCAGCAGGCACTTGCCGCAAACTCACAACCTGCACCTCAAGCCCAGCCCGCTACGACTGCCCCGCCGCCGCAGCAGAACCAACACATTCAACCACCTCCGGTCAACACCGCTGTTGCTTCCGTTGCTGGCACTGCTGGCCAACCACAGTCTGCAGGCACACCCACGCAAGCCGCGGCGCGCATTCAGACACCTCAGACGGGAGCGGCTGGAGTGAGCACTCAGGCACTTAGTCACTCTGCTGCCGTTTCTCGCGCGAACCAGAGAGTCAACTCTCAACCTGTCGCGGCCACGCCCGTCCAACCTAGTGCAGGCACACCTTCATCGGCAGGACCCATTAGTCAAGGTGTTATGGGCTCTGGCGCCATTGGTAACTCTCAGCAAGGACATCCTCAGCCTCACCCTGGTCAACCCACACAGCAGACGCAAACGCTGCAATCAAAGCTTCCCATACCCAAGCAACTGCCCGAAAAAGCGACCCAGGTCCCGCAGCCGGTCAACATGGTCAACAACGCCGGTGCCGGCCGTCCCACATACACCGGCGGCACTGGCATCGCCGGTGGTGTCATGGGACACCCTGCCCTCGGAAAGATTCCAGCCTTCTCGCACGAGGCCGAGGGAGATCGCGTTCTCAGCAAGAAGAAACTTGACGAGCTCGTCCGCCAGGTCTGTGGCGGGACAGCCGAGGGCCAGGAGGGCAATCTCCTCAGTCCTGAGGTGGAGGAGGTGAGTACATGAATGCACTGTAGCGTCGAGGAAAGAGCACGGCTAACACACAAAAAAAAAAACCAGAACGTCTTGACCTTGGCAGACAGCTTCGTGGATAACGTCTTGCACGCCGCCTGCCGGAACGCCAAGGAACGCGGCTCCAAGGTGCTCGAGATCCGCGACATTCAACTTGTTCTCGAGCGCAAGTACAACATTCGGGTTCCCGGCTACTCTTCCGACGACCTGCGCACTGTTCGCAAGGTGCAGCCGGCGCCCGCCTGGATCACCAAGATGAGTGCGATCCAGGCTGCCAAGGTTACTTCGGGCAAGGGCGAGTAGGAGCCGCTCCCACCGCGTAAGCAGCAGAGGCGCAATTCAAAGACGACGAAGCCCATGCCTAAGACGGCGGCGACTCAGAGGCGCTCCACGAACCCTGTTCCCACGCAGGGAAGCCGCCTCACATTCTAGGACGGTACTTGACAGCTCGCAGGGAAGCCGCCTCGCATTCTAGGACGGTACTTGACAGCTCACGACAAAAGGATTACATAGCCGATGGTTGTGTGCGACGGAAGGAGCTGGACCACTTGCTGCATTTCCTTTATTTCTGGTCCGCCTCCTCATCGCGACGAGGTACAGTATGGTCAAGGCGTTCGGGAAAGGTGTGGCGTTGAGCGGAGGAGACATGGGGACTCGGGCATGATTTCGTACCTTAGGGAGGGGTCAGACATGGGCTCTCCGAGCCTGTGCTTTTAATACCCTCGCAAATAGCTGTAATGCAGTGTTGAGTTTCCGCATGGAACACACATGCTTTCCTGCCGTCACAATGTGACGGGGATGGTACATTGAGGGATTATCACGTGAAATTCGGTTACGACAGTGGTGCGAGCGTGCCACGATAGAAAGTAGCGTCCATGTGAGGGGTTGACGATGATATGGCGAAGGAGGGGAAGAACGGGGACGGGACCTGCAGACGGATGGATCGCGCCCGTTGCCTGTCCGCGTTGGCGCCGAGGGAGGGGGGGAGGGTAGGGGCCTAGGGGTATGCGCAATGGCGCAATGTGCGCTGGAGGTGCAGGAAGAACAGGGGGGGCGATCCGCTACGCCGCGTCCTGGAGGTCAACAGATGAGTCAAGTCATGGCAGCGAATTCAGTGACAGTTTTTGTGCGTTTCTTCTATGATCCTGGTTTGCTTGGAAGACATCCGGCGATCTGAAGCCTCAAGAAGAGCAGCATGTGTGCAAGATGTGTATCATGAGGAACAGCCTTGGCGACCTGATGCATGCCCCTAAAGTACCTACCTAGATACGCATGATAGGTAGGTAGCCGGGCAGGTGCTACGTCAAAACGAGGCTCGCAGACGGGCGGGCTGCTGGGTGTGAGAACGTTCGAGTACTCCAGCATCCACCTTCCAGCCTCCTCCCTCTTGCAGATCGCTGGATGGGAGGTCATCTCCATCCTCGTTCATTGGGCACACATGCTGCGGCCTTGCAACGCACCGCGCCTATTTTTGCGTCTTTATCCTGAGACTTGGGCTGGCCCCCAATGTCTTCTTTTCGCGCAGCATACCTAGGTACGCACACGGCCCCATGCTTGTGGTTCGCCGAGACTCGGGCCTTCCACGTTGTCGCGTGGCATTCTGCCTTACCAGTCCTTCCGTGTTGTTCATACTGGCGCAGCAGCAAGAGAGGCCGTGAGGACGATCGTCGGCCAGTACTTTCCCTCAGCGGTCTACGTCTCCGAGTAAGCAGACTATGGGGGTGTGCGACGTCGATTGGCAGCACATATCATCCCTCAGAGGCAATAACAAGCACGCAGCTCGCCGCTTGCTCAAGAGATGGCGCCCAATCCAACATTATGGCCGCTTCCCCACGACACGTCCTCCACGGAATCCCAATGGCGATAAGGATGACGATGACTGAAATACACGCATTTGCGCGGTGCGAAGTCGCGCGGGAACTTGCTTGGCTATCTACCACTCGCCGTGGGTAATCGATACCTCGAGGGAGGTGGGCAGCCCACGCACGAACGCTTTACATGCAACGTCCAAAGGAGGCTGCGCATCCGCATTCGCGCAGATGCAGGTGGGAGAGGCGGCACCAGCCCGCTCGCTCGCGTCTTCTGAGCAACTGAGTAGTTGCGCATTTGCGTGGAGATTGCCACAGGCCGATCTGGTCTGGCCGGGATTTTGACCACGAACATGGAATTTACCAGGGCATTCTTCCTTCCAGGGTAGTGTCTACCTTCCAGGGTAGTGGTGGTGGTGTGCGCAAGTCAAGGCAAGGGAAAGGAGCATTGCTGCCCAAAGGCAAAAAGGCTTGTTGCTGATGGGCTGACGTCCAGCGAAACAGGACTCGGAGACTGACCGTAGACGCCCACATCGCATCCATTCACGCCTGTGACGGCCACTCGATTCGCTTGCCACCGTTACCCTATGCCGCTGGTCCTGTTGGCTCTCGCTGAGCGCTGCTGTTGCCGCTGCCCGTTGTCGCAGTCGCTGTCCGTCGCTGGCGCTGTGCTGGCGATGACTCTTTTTCTCTTCGTTGTCCGCTCGACTTTATTTTTCTCTTCCTTTTCCCTTCTTTTTCTTTGTCGTTGAGCTCTGTCTCGTACCCCCCTCCCCTTCCCACATCACAGGTCATATTCACAACACGCAGTTCCGACTCAACCCCCCCTTTTTTAATTCCGGCATAAAGGAGAACCTCCCGGCAGGATATATTCGCCTGGCCCAAACTTATCAGGACGGCGACCCCGGATCCTGTGCCTCTTTCAGCCCGTCCTTGGTCAAAGCCGACGCTACGTCAGCGAACAATTTAGTGACCTGGGCACATACAAGTCGTGGTGAAACATCATCACCATCGTGGTCCTTTAGGCCATCTCCGTCTTCAGGCTTGAAACGCCAGCACAGAGAAGTGCGGCCCCCATTTCTGTCTGGAACCACCTACCCACGCCGAACCCACGAAACCTTGCAGCAACACGCAGCAACTCGCAGCAAGCAGCAAGCGATAGCTTGGTTGTTCCACAGCCTCAGAAAATTCCGCTCGTGGCTTCAAAATTAACTGCATCTCGCTTTTCCTCCTTCTGATTTCCCGTCGGGCTTGACGAGACGGTCAAACTTCTTCCTTATCATTATCCCGCCTCGTTTGCTCTCTCCTCTCCGCCATTCACCACCTTTGGGTCGCTTGCAGCAACTCATTTCATCCCTACCCTTTTTTGAACACCACCACTCTTACCCGCGGTGGAGTCTTGCCTGCTGCACATCCGGACCAGGCCGTTCCTTGTCGGCAGCATTGCTTGCTCGCGCCCCCTCCCCCATTGCTAGGGACCAGACCACCAGTAAGGTCGTCATCTGCCAGAGTGATATTTCTGCGGCCGGCTCCCACTCCCTTGTTCCCGAACTTAGAGAAGATACAAGAGGGATCGACCACCTCTCCCCTTCTTCACCCTTTTTTTTCCTCTCGTCGAACAACGTTACCGTCGACGACCAGGTCGCAGTTCTCTTTCTCTCTTGCGTCCACCTCAGTAAGAAAGAAAGACGAGCTTCTCTCCTGACTCCGCGCCCAGGACGAACATTCGCTGCCTTCACCTCAGAGCTTATCATGACAACCAACAGCCGCTACCGAATATTCTCTTCTCCCTGCCGGAGGTTTCTACTCTGGGTGCTGACGCCTTGAACGGGCGTTACCCCTCCGCATCAGCTCAGCTTCGTCTCAGCTCAGCCAGCCTACCTACCTACCTACCTGGTACGCTACGAACACGCAAGACACAGAAACAGCACAGCATTGCGCATCAGCAGCGCACACCAAATCCTTCCCGGACGTTTATCGCGCTGGTGGGACCCGGGACTGCCAGGTGGCGAGGACAGGACAGTGGACTTTGGACTGGTCTACCACCCGTAACCTTGAACCCTCCCCGCCAACAAATCATTACCCCACATCACCGAGAATAACCACCCGCGCCCGCCTTTTTTCGCCTGGGTCGCCTCCCCCGCCCAAACATTATAGAGGCGCCACCGATAAGATCCCCGGCGTCCGAAGATCCGATTCCGTCGGGGACGACTTGTCAGATACCACCCCGACACCGACTTGCACATACGTTTATCACTGGGCACAATTCCCCCCTCCACAGAAACAAAAACCAATGCCGAGCCCCTGGCGCACAACGCTCTTTTTGAGCAGGCATCTTTCCCCC